GTTTACGCGTGTGGGGTGGGGTGATACACACACCGGGGGCGGACATGGGGCCGTGCGAGGGTGCGAATCAGTACATGTGTAAGACATGACATAACACACGACCCGGTGTCGCCCACCACCTCGACACCCCACGACCCCATGGGGGTCCACCCCCCAATCACACACAATGCATACATACATACATACATACATACATACATACATACATACATACATACATACATACATACATACATACATACATACATACATACATACATACATACATACATACATACATACGCAGGTTTCTCCATCAAGAAGAAGCTGTTCTTCCGGAACTTTCTGACGGTGGTGCTCTTCGGTGTGGGCGGCACCCTGGTTACTGCGGCGGTGCTGGCGGCCGGGTCGTACAGGCTCCTGGAAGCGGGTGAGGCGGGGGGAGAACGGGGTTCCTCGTACTGCACTCTCATAAACCGTAACCCCTCCTGTGTAGTTTTGTCTTCCCCTCCGTCCCCGAACCCATATCCTCAACCTCGTCACACACCAATACACACACAACCCTACTCAGACGCCTCCGCCGCTTCAAAAACCCCCTATCCCCCTTCTCCACCCCCGCCACCACCACCACCACCATCACCACCACCATGCGCGTGCGGGGGAAACCTACAGTGGGTTTGCCCCGCCGCGGCCTGCTGCGCAACAGCCTGGCCCTGGGTGCCGTACTCAGCTGTACGGACAGCGTGGCGGCGCTACAGCTTCTTCACCGGGACCGGGAGCGGGTTCCAGTGCTGTACTCCTTGTTGTTCGGAGAGGGGGTGGTGAATGACGCTACTGCCATCGTACTGCTGGGTACTATCATGGTGGGTTGGGGGGTGGCTGGGCCTTGGGAGGGGGGGGTTGGGGGGTTGAGGAGGGGGGGAAAACTGCTGGGGGGATTTGCCAGGGTATTGGAAAAGAACTAGCCGCACTGACGCGGACATGAACCCTGGCGCCTAGACAGCTGCCTAACCCCACATTGCATGGGGCCAGTCCCCCACCTCATACACCTCGCTCACCGACACACATTTTCGTTTTTGCCTGCTCCAGAACCTGCCGTACACGTCGTACAATTCGGACAACACGCTGAGTCCTCGCGCAGTGGGTGTGTTGGTGTTGCGGTTTGTTCGCCTCTTCGCTCTGAGTACAGCACTGGGCCTCGGTGTGGGGGTGGTCAGCGCCGCCATCGTCCGGTGAGGGTCGTGTGGGTGGGTGGGTGGGTGGGGCGTCGTAACCCCGTCCCGGTGGGTTTTGGGGTTTGGGGGAGGTGGAGGGGGGGGAGGGGAAACGGTCTTCCCTCCGCACGGCCCGTGCACACTGCCCCCGGGTAGCTGCTGTGTGGATTTTCAATGACTTTGGCCGCAATGGTTGGACAGATCGACAGACAGAGAGACAACCAGACAGACAGACAGACAGGCAGGCAAGTATAGGCAGGTAAGGGTATATGGGGGCGAAGACGCGCGGTGCGGGGTGTTCCCTACGAACCGCAGTGGTAACGATGTTTCTACCGCCCGTGGTGGGAGTTTGTCGCGGGGTCGCGGGGCCCCAACTGAGAGTTACGGCGGTAGTAGACGTTAGGGTGCGGCGGGCGAGTCCCCAGCCCGATGCCGCTAACCTCCTTCCCCCTCCAACACAACAACCCCGGGAGCGTACACAGCCCAAACATACGCGTACCCACCCACCCACCCGCCCACCCGTACATTCCGTCGCATGATGCCCCAATGCAGCTGTACATAATCGACTACCGAGCGCTGCGGGATGGCTCGTCAAACCGCCGCACCTGCCGCAAACCCACCGCCCCTCCCTCTTTCCTCCCCCCCCCAAACCCCCTCGATAACACCCCTCAGGTGGATACTCCGACGACCGCCCGCCGCCTCCAGAGGCCCCAGTCATCAGGATCAGTACGGCGGGGCCCCAAACCCCCAATACCCCGAGTCTCCTCCCCCTCCTCCCCCTCCCCC